GAACTGTTGAGAAATGTTTATGTTTTGCCTCGTTACGTTGTTACTGTTGCCCCAAGTCCCGAAAATCCCGTGGTGTATATTGAAATGCTGTCTGCAGACTCTTTGGTGGAGGAAGCCGGATTGATAACCCCCCAAACAAGCATAAAAATTAAGGAGGTGATCACTTTAGAATGGTACAGACATTTGTCAGAAGGCATTGCAAAAACTTCAGTTGCAGGACTAGATGATGTGGGAAAGTCTTTGAAAGAGATGATCGATCTGCCTTTGCGATTTCCAAAAACTTTTAAGAACCTGGGGCTTTCTGTCCCTAATGGAGTGCTGTTAATTGGGCCCCCAGGTGTAGGGAAAACTCTTATGGTAAAGGCAGTAGCAGAAGAGGTGGGTGCATTTCTGTTTGGCGTCAGTGGCCCAGCCCTCCATGGCTCAAGGCCGGGAGAAGGTGAAGAGAATTTGAGGAGAGTCTTTGAAAAAGGCAGAGAAATGTCACAGGAAGGCCCAACCATTCTCTTCTTTGATGAAATGGATTCTTTGTGCCCCAAGCGAGGAAGTTCAAGCAATGCTCCTGAGGATCGGATTGTTGCTCAGCTGCTGACGCTCCTGGATGGTGCAAGGAGCGAGGGTAAGATGGTCATTGTGGCAGCAACAAACAGGCCAGATGCCTTAGACCCTGCACTCAGAAGACCTGGCAGATTTGACAGAGAGGTAAATAAACCCTCTTATTCATACACACTTTTGTCTTTCCTTATTGATGTGGAAGGGGGCTGTTGATAGAGTAAAGTTTAATGTCTACTGGTCGTGTTTCATATTGGGATTCTACAGCCTTGAGCCAGGTATCCCATTTCTTTACTTTGCTGCAACTTGGGCAAGGTGGGATTTATTTTAACTCGGGACACTGAGAGCTCCATATACTTCAAAGTAGACAAGGGGATTCTTTATGCTTCTTTACCTGTCCTTGAGAGGTTTGTTTGCTTACAGATGCTTAGCCTTACAGGCTTAGGTTTTTTCATTTAAATTCTAGATTGAAGATTGATGCATCTCTCCTTAAAAGTTTATTGTGACAGAAAACTAGTAACCTCTTGTGTCAAAAATTCTATTCAGATTTCAGTAACAGGTTGAATCTGTTCTGGAAAACTTCTGTTAGCCTAGTAGCCAAAAGAAGAAAAACACAGTTGTGCAACTTACAGTTCTTTTGCTTGTGTTGTTTATTTTTCTAGCTAAACCCACTTTTGGATCATCCAGTTTAGTCAAGATCTTTAATGCTTTCATAATTGTAATTTTCATTATTTTCCAGGATTTATAGATGGTTGAGATATATTTTTATGAAGGTGTTTCACCAGGGTTTTAATAATGTATGAGTGTTTATCTCATTGATTTATTTTTCCCTGTCATATGAATCTAATTTAGTCCTTGTGATGCAAGGAAATTATTATTTCAATGTTATGTTGAAATTACCTGAAAATGGGACTTGGTAGACACTAGCTGACAGTGTCTTATGAACAACTGTTTGTACAAACACTGTTCACTTGGAAATTAAGTGGTATTTTAAATATTTGTCATTTGTATAGTGCTGCTAATAGGTTTTTTGTAACAATATTTATTTGAATTATAAGTATATAGAAATCTTTAGTAACCAATATAAAACAGAGATGAAAGCTCTATAAAATAAGTATAGCACAATATCTACTTAAATTTTTTGTTTATTATATTTGCTTTAGGTTATTATTGGGACCCCAACAGTCACACAAAGAAGATCCATCCTGCAGTTGCTCACGTCCAATATGCCCATTTCTGCAGACGTTGATTTGGCTCAGCTGGCAGAGCTGACCCCTGGCTATGTGGGAGCTGACCTCACAGCACTCTGCAGGGAAGCTGTTATGCAGGCTGTGTCCCACAGCTCCTTGGTATGGCTGCACATCACTCAAGGACAGTGTCATTAATGTACATTAATGTACCACCTTTTCCTCATTAATGCTCAGCTTTACTCGAAAAGCTCAAGAAGTTGAAGACTCAGAAATTAAAATACTAAAACCACCAAATATGTTACAAATGTATATATGCCATTTTTTCTAGTCCTTTCAGTTCTCACCTGAAAGGACTGTTTTCTACTTTCTGAGTGAAAAGTTTTGCTGAAAGTTTTTATCCTCTTCCTCTTTAGGATTGTGCAAAGCAGACATTTTTGTCTTTTTCGGCAAAGTAAACTGTGTCCACCAAAACTCTCTTTTGAAGCTACTTAATTTCATTAATATTTAATTTAATTTAGAATTCTGCTTTCTAATAACTGCAAATTAAAGTTAGGTTGATACACAAGTGTATAACAGCTAGTGAAAATAACTATTATCATCTGGGTTGTATGGCTGGATATAAAATTCTTGTAGACACAAGGTATACAACTGCCCAGTGTGCAGAAATTTAACCTCTTAGCAATTCTCTAATTCCATTTCTATAATGCCTGTTTCTTAATACTCCAGTCTCTATTCTGGCTTTTACAAAAACTGTGAGATACATGTTTGATGTAGTTTTTCATCTGCAATGGCTGAGCAGAAATTTAAAGCCATATTTGTAAAATTTCCAAAGTCAAAAGCATCTGCAGAGAATGGTAGAACCTTCTGTCTTCACTTGGGTAGAAAAAAAGAGAGCATAGCACTGAAAATAATAAAATTATTTGGGCCTGGTATCTCAGAAAAGAATAGATGGACAAATGAAAGTAATGAATAAGTAGATGGCCCGTTTGCAAGTGCCTTTGTAAAATACATCTTAGTTCTGTTACTGTAACTGTAGTTTAGTAATGTTATTGTATAGCATGTTTGAGATAAAATGTGTTGCATTCTTCAGTGTGGTGAAAATGGATGTTGCAGCCTTTTTATTTCTATTCAGAAGATTGTATGATTTATTGTGTGGTAACCCTCAAATTAGCAACCATTTGATTTAGCACATCACTGTCTACTGGAGCTATAATTTAGGGAATAGTAGTTTTCTCTAAAACATTAATTTCTGTTAAAATAGCCTTTTCTTGTGTAAAATCATGCCATTAAGGAGAATATATTTTACTTTGTGTTGCATTTTTGCATCTGCAGTTCTCTAGGCTCATTAGGGCAGGAATTGGCTTCTTTATTAGTTGCATTTGGCCTTCTGTGAAGTGTTTCACATATAATGCAGCATTTAAGTATTACCTAAAAATATTGTTAATATGCTTTATCTGGTTTGGGTTTTTTTTCAGGAGTCAACTGAAACTGAAACCATGATTAACATGGGAGATTTCCAAGAAGCTTTTAAAAAAATTCAACCATCCTCTTTTCGAAGTGCAGTTGGACTAACAGAGTGTAAACCTGTGACTTGGGAGCAAATTGGTGGTCTTGAAGA